TTACCTACATGTATCAGCCCATAAAACAGTTTGGTTTCATTTTTGGCTAAATTACCAACTAGCGTACTTTCTGGGGGGCGACAGTAGCTCAGTTGGTAGAGCATTGGCCTTAAGGCCAGAAGGTCGTGGGTTCAATTCCCACCTCTGCACCTTCTCCATCGACTCCCACTGATGACTGCTGTCGTTGTGTCCTTGGGCAAGACACTTAACCCCACTTTGCCCAAAAAGCCCCCACTGAAAGATCAAGGCTATGCTCACACTCAGAGAGCAGCCGTCCTCCTGTGGACTCACCACCTGCAGAGGGTCAGTGAGGGGCTGGTGCTATGAGACTTGGGTGGCATCTCTGACTGCCACCCCCCTGACAGTGGCAGTCATGCTGCAGGTTTTCATGTTGTGATGTAGCAGAGAAATGACTTATTGACAATAAACAAGTGTCATATAGTGACTTCAACTTTTGAAGAAAAACTACGACATGACTGAAGCATTTATTTAGGATGAATTGTCATTAAAGTCAAAATATCAACAAGATCTATAATATATTTGAAATAAAAAATCAATATTGTATTCAATATGATTCTTTTTTTTACCACACCTTTAATAATAATAATGTCTAAAACTTACAGCGCAACTTCAACTTTTAAAAATTCAAAATTTAAACAAAAGAAATTCTCATCTCACAATTTTTTATACACATACAGTATATAGGCCTGACAACTCCTGACAGCAATGTCAATTCAAAAAAAAAAAAAAGGTGCCCCAACTACAAGCAAAAAAATATGTCCTCTGCAACCAACAAAAATCGTAAATTTTCAATTATCAAACTGGCAACATTTTCCAGAAAAAAAGCGAACCCCAGATTAAAGCCCTTTTTCATCGCAGTGAAAATGCCAAAGCATCACAAGTGCTTTTCCACAGTCACTGGACACAGAGTTGGTCTGAAATGTAGAAAAACATGTTGAATTTGCATGAGGTCAGATCAAAGTGTCCCAGAGAGCTGCCTTTGTCTCAACAGCTGTGAGCACAGAGATGCTTCATTCTGACAGTCCAGGATTTCTTACACCATCTTTCAAACAAGAATAAAAAGCAAAACTTCGGGACAAGGTGCTGAGTTCGTCATTGTGCAGTGGATTTATCTGCTGAAAAGTTACAGACAGTTAAACAGCCTGTGCCTTAGACCACATTTCTCTGAACCAAGGAGTATGAAAAGAGGCAGAGAAAGGCAGAGGATGAATTACAAACTGAGCAGCGTGAATGATTTAATGTTAAACTTGAAAGAAAAATAATTATTTTTGTTATCAGTGCTCCTACTGTTTGGAAAATCAAAAAAAGAGTTACAGAGTTAATGGGCTTTTTATCCCACTTATGGACATATGGAGCTACGTATAGCGAAGGTTCAGATGAGGGCAGTCTATAAATATTCTAAATTTGAATATATATTGGAATACTTTTTCAAAATAGGAATTCAAATGTTAAAATTAAAGTTTGAATGTGGTGAAACGCCTGCAGTAGCAGAGGAGTGGCTACTGCTGTGGGCACTGCTCTACTTGTGGAAGTGTGTTGCATATTTTTCTGTATTTATAAGCAGGAAAAATGTGCTTGGGGCACATTCTGGGTTGACGAGCTTTATGCTTGGTCCAGTGCGCGCAGGTTTGCGGTGCTGTGGCGTCCAGTGAACAGAGGTGCTGCTGACTACACACAGTTCTGTCGCTGCAGAAAGTGCAAAGACCAACTTGACCGCAACAGTGAAAGTTATTTTAACTCTAAAAACCTCTATAAAGTCATAACTGGAAGTCCTCAAATTTTGGTAGACAGAAGTTGTGGAGAAATTGTGGAGCTACATAATACGTAGCAAACCAGATATTTGAATATATTCAAATATTTGTTGTTTGTTGTAGGGCATATTAAGTCTGGAAGCCTCTCCGTGGACATTAATTTACCTACTACACACCTGTACCTCTGCTAATCTGTATCTGCATCACCTGTGGCACAATGAGATTAAGATTATGAGATCCTTTATCCGTCCCACAGTGAGGAGCGCACAACACACAAAGATAAACAAACAATAACTCTATACTAAAATTAGTTCATATAAAACATATACCAGTGCATTTTAGCTCTAAAGATTTCAGCTTGTGCAGCAACCCGCCTCCTCCCCATCACCACCTCAACAGTGGAACATCCCTCTTCCTCTTATCTGCTCATCAGTTCAGCTTCCAGCCGCACCAGGGTTTAGACCCCGGGGAGATTTCACTTTCATTATCTCGATCCTTTCCCTCCTGCATATGTCTGACTATATCTTCTACTGCACAATACCATAATGCTTAGTGCTGTGGGAGATGCTGCGGGTAGCACGCTGTAGATGATAGATTAATCTGAATTGTTGTTTTGAACGTAAGGGCAAGCCACAGCCAAAGACGGAAATACTTTTGCTGGTTATTTTTTCCAACAATTGATAACACAACCAGAACTATAATTATACAAAACACTGAAAGGAAACATGTCACTCCAACAGATCAACGCCATATTCTTACTACTCGAAAGATCAGACGAAAAGCATTATGGGTAATGTGCACTCTGAACTGTCAATAAACATCAATACATACTAAAACATACGTCTAAACCCTAAGCAGAGGGAAGCTTGGAACCAGGATACAATACATGGCTATAGGGCATTTTTGTTTCCGTAAATGATGCAGTATATTTCTAAACGTTCTGATACAATTCAGTAAGAAAATAAAGAACTACAACCCTTACATGGCACTCAACCCCATTGGAAAAAATATTATTATATGTATCTACATTTCAATATTTGAGTACACCCCCATGTGTGGACAGGAGGGATTTTAAAAATGTCTAACTTGATTGACGGCCAAACTGACTTTTCTGAGCATTTATTGGCGCACTATTTCCGCAGGCCTAAAGTTAATGATTCATTCCCAACAACACAGACCAAAAGTATGCATCCTGAACACAATTTTATTTTCTACTCGAGCACACTTTTGGCAGCTCTGACTAGTGATGACAGCTGAATATAGATCAGCCCGTTCTGGTTTGAGTCTTTCGGATGACGGCCGTGTTTAGTGCCTCGTTCACACAGGGCTGAGGTCTCTGAAGCCTTCGTCCAAGTCCAAGCCCTGCGAGTCCCGGGCCAAAAAACCCCAGCATGATTCATGAGTGTGTAGAGTGAGAGTAGTGTGGGGTGAGTGGAGAGGAGGGGCGGCCATGGCTCAGGTCCAAGAAAACAGTACAATCCATTCAAGTGTCCTGTCAACAGTATTGTAGCACAGAGCAGCTACATGAACACACTGAACACAGCTGTAATGGATTTAACCTATTTGTCAATGCAGGAAATAGGCTGCGGACGTATAGGGCCAGAAAACAGGCTGTCTTTGCAAAGAAATGGAAGCCAAAGGAAGAATATAATGTTCTAATGGGTATCTGTTTAGCTGTGCGTACAACTGACGGATTGTCTCTTTTACTCTATTTAATGTACTGTGGCGTTGCCTTATAATAATAATGAATCGGTCTTATGCAGCACTTTTTTGGACAATCAAAGACGCTTCACATGCAGTCGTTGTTAAGTCACTTCATACATTGTGGTGATAAACTACTACTGTAGCCACAGCTGCCCTGGGGCACACTGACAGAAGCGAGGCAACCAGTGCCATCATTAGCCATTCACGCACACAAGATTAATTCTAGGCAATGTGGGGGAAGTGTCTTGCCTAAGGACTCAACAACAGTTTGGCACTTTGCAGCCGCAGCCGCCCCACTGTGGCACATGGTGTTTCCAGAGGTCTCCCATCACAGTACTAACCAGGCCCTACCCTGCACAGCTTCAGAGGTCAAGTGCAAGTATGGCCACTTATGTATGAACTGTGTCCAAATACACTTAGTTTACCTTATGATTTTAACTTAGATATTATGTTTTCTGACAACAATGGGTCATTGACACGTATAGACCCTGACCAGCAGGTTCCGCTGCTTCTAGAGTGCTTCTGGATCTCTGCCCAAACCATATCCTAAGCCATGTTTGTGTCACATTTTATCATCATCAGAATTAATGTCACGAGAGAAAAGCTAAACTTCATTTTTTGTAATAATTCCATAGTTTCAGCTATGAACAGAAGTATAGTAAATGGAAGGAATGCACTTGTATAACCTGTAATAAGACTTGATCACAGCCTGGAGTGGCCGCCACTTTGGATCATTGTGTAAAATGACCGTGTCTTCAGCTTCCTAATCTATGATTGGACCGTTCTACATCGGAAAGAGAACAGAGAGACACTCCCCCACAGTTTCCAGATCTATCTGCATTTGGGGCTTATGTCTGGTCCTATCAGCTCTACTCAAATCAATTCAGCCCACCTTGGTCCAAGTTTTATACATGGTTTTTCCATGGCTCTGTCTATGACGTGATGGAGGGAAGAATTCAACAAAGAGCACATTTTGACAGACTCTTGGCAGAATTTATATATATATAAAAGAAGTATTATGACATAATGTCCCTAAATTGCACAATTTGAGCACAATTTCTTTGTGTAAAAAAAATCATGGACAAACTTCCCATCCAGTTAACAAAACTAATAGAGCACTTATTTTTCAATGCCACATGTTGGTTACAATGAAGACAGGCCTTCGTGTTGGCCTTTAATCACGATTTCCTTGTTTGGCTCTCCTTTTGTTTAAGAGTGCCTGAATAGATACTAGTTTTTTTTTTTTCAAATAATACTCTTTTACCAGGGTTTTATTGTAACACCGAACCAAAGGACTTCTTCAGGGAAAGAAGTCCTTTGGATTGAGGACGAACCGTCGGGAAAACTTGCTAAGAAGTACAGATGATGGGTGAGAAACCTTCCTTTGCTTTGATTCCAAGGGATGTTTTGTTTTGCTAGATTGATAGCTATCGTGCTTATGACATTGCATATTTCTGCTGTGTGAGATCAATAAAGTCTATCTTATCTTATCTTAATGAAATAATGTTTTTACATGAGTCTTACCTGAGTTGTCATCCACGCGCTCCTCCACCACATGGTCTTTCTGATGAACCCACTCGCTGTTGCACTTGAAGTAGATCTGTGTGGCGGGCGTGGCTTTGCAGTACAGTATGGCGGGTCTGTTCTTCATGATGTAGCCGTCCTCTGGCTCAAACAGGAAGTGAGGGAGGGGCTCCGGTGGGTCCGACGGGAACGTTTCAGGAAGCTCGCTCAGACTGAGGAAGTCCTCGTCCTCCCGCACTGGAAAAGAAAAAAATATGTTATAGATGTACTCAGTAGTTAAAATAGATTCACCTAAGTATCGCAATACTTTGTGTCAAGTTACATTTATTTATGAGGCAAAAGACCGCAGCTGCCCAAAGCCTTGTGTACGGGAGATTAAAACAGCAAAAGACAAAACAAATTATCTAGTTAACTCAAGGCCAGCAATTATAGTCTTCGTTTCAGAGATGACAGGCCATAACAGAAACACCAACAAAGCATGGGGCGACTACTTGAGTTATGAATTAATTCTCTTATCTCGTTGGAGCCATTTAGACAACAACGGAACAAACGAAAAATCCGAAATTGCCTCTCAGAATGAAAAAGTTTAAAACCCTAATACATGGAAGCTAACCCTAAACCTAATCCACTAAAACTAACCCAAACTTTAATTAATTTACACTAACTCTAATACACTCGAGCTAACCTAATCATAATATAATAAAGCAAACCCTAGCCCTGATACAATTAAGGTAGCCCTAATAACTCTAACCCTATCTCTAATAAACTAACCCTAATCGACAAACACTAATCCTAACACATGAAAGCTTACAAAACCCAAATACAATAAAGCTTACCCTATCCATAACACACGCAAGCTAGCTCCGACTCCAAATTTGATAAACTAACCCTAATCCATTTACACTTACCCTAATACACAAAAGCTAACCCAAACCTCAATACGATAAAGCTACTGTTAACCTTATCCCTAAAGCCACTAAAGATAACCCTAACTCTTTCTCGTTCTGCTATTTCCGTCTTAACACAGCCTTTATAGCTAGATCAGTCATGCTTTCCAAAATCTAAAATAGCTGAGTAGGCAGTCCTGGTGAGCTGGAGAACTGGCCAAAACACTCCCAGCAGATGGACAAAACCCGCACATGGGAACTCATTGCTGTGTTTAGTGTATCAAGTGAAAAAACCCCAAAAATAAACAATGTACGTTTGGCTTTTCACAGACAGATTGTCACAAAGTCGCTTCACAATGTAGCCCTGGAAATCACCCACTGCACCACCACCAACCGTTCGCATCAGTGAGAGAAGAGTTTTGCCGCTTGGTCTAATGAGGCCTGGTCAAAACCAAAGCACAAAGTCCAGATTCACAAAGTCATTTTATTCGCCATTTGCAGTTGTGACAGTCTGAGTCAGTGTTTTGTGCTTGGAACCACTTCAGTCATGAAAAGGTTATTTCTTTGCAGTTCATTTCTCACTGTAAATGAGATTATTCTAATACCTAACGCGTGCTAACATATTTTTACATCCTCCATTGAATTACATGTTGCACACTTTGCCGACGTGACATCCGATTAGCTCCAGTTCTAGGGACTGGCGCATGCACATTGACCTTCTAAACCTAACTTAAGCCGAGACTAGACCAGAACCAATCCCTAAAATCTTTATCATCTATTTTAATCCTTTCCTCATCTGTGCAATAATAATTTTGAGAATGTCCTAATGTGCAATATAGAACGACTTTTGTCCACGGTCACTTTACTTAGTCACTTTTCGAGACTATATATCTCTCATTATGCTAAATTTTATACTTCATTCTCGCTTCTTCATGATGCTGAAATTGGACATTTTAGATTTGAATACTTCTAACGCTAAAGCAAGATATTGTATGGTTGCTTCTTTATTATGCCACTCAGAGATGTTTGACTTTTTTCTTGCTTCTTTGTGATGCCAAAGCTAGAGATTTTAGATTTGCTTCCCTATTTTGCAAAAGCTAGATATTTCATACTGGCTTCTTTATGATGGTAAAGTTAGAGGTATTTTTTGATTTTAGAATAGAGTTATTGCTCATTTATATTGTGCTGTGTGCTCCTCATTCCTAGTGTTCTGTAACCGCTGATGCAACTCTGAAACTCTGAAATTCCCCCACTGTGGGACGATTTAAGGATCTCTTAATCGTATTCTTCCCAAATGTTGAAGCATTATCTTTGTGAGCCAAGCACACAGGTCAATCCCAGGAAAAGGGAAGTGTATGGAGCAGATAAGACACAATGGCGTGGACGTGGAGCTGACAGAGGGTGAGTTCTCAGTGTTTTCTTGGCCTCGCTTGTGCCCGGGTGGTCGTTTTTGTGCCGATCATGTTTCCGACCGTGATCAATTATTTATGACAGCGGCGTGTGAGAAAGCAGGCCCCTCGCCCTGAATGACAAACGGGAGCACAAGTGTGTCCAGCCACAGAAAAAGCTGCAAGGAGGAAGCTGTCCGACAAAATCAATGTGTCAAATGTCTGGAAGTGAAGTAAAAATGTCAAAAATGTAGACTAAATGTTGTGATAGGGCTTGGAAATATATTGTTTGGTATTTGGGGATGAGGGCTGAAAGATACATAGATATCTAATATAAATATTACTTTTAGTAGTGGTGGCTTGCAATGAACTACTCATTAAACTCCCATTCAAACCAAAGGAATTCTGAGAAACATCCCCACATAATTTGTCAGAATAATTAAAATAAAGTTTTTTTTTAACCTTTATTTACTTTTAATAAGCACGAAAACTGATCATTATAAGTGAAGTACAGCAAAAACAGGAACGCTAACTTCTGACAGAAAACAGTGTGTTGCTATGGTAACTAGAACTTGATATTCTCTGGTGGAAAATGAATTAGAGGTAGAACTCCTCACAATTCAAACCCTAACCCTAACCCTAACATAATTTAGTAAAAAAAAAAAAAATAATGATTCAAGACCAAGAATACACATGATATGAGTATAGTTCCACTTCCAAAACTAAACGCCGTCAAATTGACTGCTCTTGGAGTTCTAGTGTTAATATTTCAGCAGGTCCATTGTTTTTGTTCTCATCAATGCTTCTCCTCACACAGAACCCTGACAGCAGTGACATTTCAAACCCACACAACTTTATATCCTCTATATTTCCAAGTGCTGCATCATCCGCTTTGATTAGGACTGAAATTTGACGATGGTATATCTCACTGTAGAACTGCCATAACGTCTGCAGCACATGAAAGCTTGGGGAGAAAAATTTGTTCTGTGGAAGTTTTAAGTCAGTATCAGTGTCTCAACAACCCAAGCATGAACATTTAGTCCCTTAAACATGAACTTGAACCGCTACGTATGCAACTCTTTCTGCTGAGTTCAGAGAGAGGACAGGGTTGGCAGGATTATAAAATCATTACCAAATCATGCCTTTTTTGCTGAAACAACATATTACCAGTATTCCCGTGGGTTTAAACATTATTTTCACCTGGAAATACTTCAAAAGTAACAAGAAACAAACCACACTGCAAAAAGTGGTGACAAATAAGTAAAAAAAAATTTCAACTTTGGAAAAATTATACTTAATTTGAACCCATTTTGATTGCCAATGGGACAAGAAAAAATGTTGTTTTAAAAAGCTAGGAGTACATAAGAATGTGCTACTGATTAAAATACAACAAATGAAACCATCAAAAGTCAATTAAACACTATAATTGCAAGAATAATGGGTGGATCATCAAGACGATTGGTCCTCCCAATTGTCAATCATTCCGATGGTACGTGCTCAACAAATAGTAAGTAAGTAAGTAATCTTTATTTATATACCGCCTTTTCACTGCAGATCTGAGTCTCAAAGCGGTTTACAATTGTTAATTTTGGGCATTTGTCTCTCACTCCACACAGAGATGGGAGCGGGGTCGCCAGTACAGGAGGCGCATGCTAGAACTATTGGACATATTTTTAGTGGTAGGGGAAACCGGAGTACCCGGAGGAAACCTACGCAGACACGGGGAGAACATGCAAACTCCACTCAGAAAGGCCCTGGTCCGACCGGGATTCGAACCCAGGACCTTCTTGCTGAGAGGCGAGAGTGCTATCCACTCAGCCACCGTGCCGCCAGATGAGACCAGAGAGTTTTATTTAAAAAGTGTAATGTAGCATACATCTATACATACTGACCATTCCCACGTCTTGGAATGTCTTTCTGAAGGAGTATTTCAGATGTAAGGGTGGACTCGTGCTCTTTGAAACTCTATCTCTTCTGAAATACTGTAATTAACTGAGATTAACTTAAAGTGGTTCATGAATGTTTGAGTAACGTCATTCTCCCGCATTCAAAACACCGTTGCTCCGACTATCCCTGGCTCTCTTTCTTTTTGCACTTTGCTGTTTATTTGCTGAATAAAATGCTACCCGATGGGAAGACGTAATTTCGGTTTGAGACGGAGACATTCGAACATCAAATGTTTAAAATACATTCTAATGATCCACAGATATAACATCTGTTAGATTATAACAACAAAATCGCCGAAAGCACCAGAACAGGCGACGAGCGTTTGTAATTGGTTACTTTCCACCCCTGCTGCTAAGTCATAAATATGAAATTAGCTTGCGCGCGTACGGCCATCTACACAAACAGGCGTCACCATTAGCATACGCCGCTATACCTCCACTGCTTCACACCCTCTATATAAATGCATGCAAATCAGCCCTGCCTCTGTGCTTATCTTCGAGGCTACGCTAGCAGCAAGAAGCATCTGAGGCTAACCGCACTTTGAAGTCAGTGCCATGCCATTTCCAGCGCTCACGTGTAATTAGTTCTCTGGGAGGATGGAAATGTGCTGCGTAACGTCATTATCTGCGGGTGTTTTCTGCGGAGGTGGGACATTTATATTCTCCCCACTCTCACCTCTCGTAAAGGTGCACAGGCTAAAACGCAATTAGTGCTGATGACATAAACAAGTGGAGCACAACAAACCGAGGCTACGATTTATCAAAGTTTAGTTAGGAGTAGTGTTGGGACCAAACTAAATTTACAAAGTCTATTCAGATGCTAAGGAACACACTTAATAAGGTAGTTGCTTCGTGTATACCGGCCAATAGTAAGTTACCGATGTTATTACAAGCAATGTTATGTACTTGCTCCTTATTATGCTGAAGTCAGGGGGTTTGTACTTAAAGGTATATAGGATTTTCCCAAATTTTAGAACAAAATTGGGAAAAGTTTATGTATTTAATGCCCTTTTCCCTCTTTGAACAAAACTCTCTCATCTTATTTGACGAGCTCGTATCACCAGAATTATTGACAATTGGGAGGACCAATTTTCTGGATGATCCACCCAGAAGTAAAAAACCCTCCTATACCTTTAAGACTTGCTTCTTATGTGCTTATGTGTCATTATTATGCTGATGTATAGAGATTTTATACTGCTTATTTTTATGCTAGAGTTAGATATTTTATTCTATTAAAGTATAGAGTTATTATACATTTATTCTGTGCTGTATACTGTCTGCAACACTGAAATTTACCCACTGTGGTGAGAATAAAGAATCTCTCAATATTAATCAGAAGTGCACCTCAATATTGAAGTGCACCTCAATATTGTCTTCTTTATCTCTAAAGCCTAGCGTACATCGGACTGGCAACTGATTATATCCGTCGCATATGAGTTGCTGCCCCGCACACATCAACAATCTGACGAAAACGGGCAACTCCCAGTAGCAGACCAGTCTCGGGAATAACAACGCGTACATCGACAGCAACTGGCCTCAACTACAGTGTGTTTTCTGACATAGACTCTTGCGGGCTCGCAATACACGCAATACACACACGTTGTCGGAGCGGCGCATGGAGCGCGCACATCGGGTCATATCTCCGAAACTGAGGAGACTAGTTGCCGAAAAGTAGAACACGGGCAACTGACTGAAACTGGAGACCGACTGATCATCTCCAGTTGTAAGAGCGCGAACATCGACCGATTTCGGCAACTGATCATCTCCATCATCTCCTCTCAGTTGCCAAAAGCCGCCTTGCAACTAGTTGTCTCCAGTTTCTCTGTCAATGTACGCTAGGCTTAAGAAGACAAGATGCACCTTCTTATAACCAAATAGTAGACTTTAAACTTGATAATGATTTTTCATAATCAGAATTACTTTTACCATTGTATGTAACAAGAAGTCACGAACTAGGAATTTTCTTAGGCTCAATAGTTTTGAATGCACTTTGTTTTTGTTAATGGTATTCAGTCACTCAAATTGGCTTCGGTCGTACAATTTCTATTTGAGTGACTGCATATTATTTA